AGGAAGGAAGGAAGGAAGGAAGGAAGGAAGGAAGGAAGGAAGGAAGGTTGGTTGAACCCAATGGTCACTAGGCTCTCCCAGAGCTAAATGTTAAAATGACCGAGAAAAGAAAGGCTGACTTGTCAATATCCTCAGCCATTGTACCAACTAACCTTAGCTCTCACTAAGCATGTTCTATATACACAGGAAACCATTTGAAGCTAGGTGCTCTATATGCCATGTTGGCATATATACATGCCGACAATTCAACTATACATAGATGGAAAGCAAATCATGAAGATAAATAACTTGCCCAGTGATATGCCTAAAATGTTACCAACTATTTAAAAGTGGGGAGAGATCCAGTAAGTAACGTGCTTGCGGCATAAAATATGAGTTCAACATAAAATCTGACCCGAGTTCAGATTCTCAGGCTCTATGTAAAAGCCCAGCGCAGTACTATCTGCCTATGATCTCAGCACTGGGGAGCGAAGACAGGAGAATCCCTAGGGTTTGCTGGCTAACCACTAACTAAACTGATTAGCTCCAGGCCAGTGGTAGAGAGCCTGTAACAAAAATAAGGTGAGGGCTGGGGTTGTAGCTCAGTGATGAGTGCTTGTCTAGCATGCAGAAGGCCCTAGCTTAAATCCTAGTATCATAAAAAAAAAAAAAAAAAAAGACATAGGAAAAAAAAAAAAAGAAAGAAAGAAAACAAAACCCTTGATCTGAGGCTGCCTTGACAATGGAAGGTAGCTCTGTGAGTAAGAGCATTTGATGTGCAGACATGAGGACCAAAAGTTCAAATCTCTAGCACCTATGAGAAAAAAAGGCTGGGCATGGTTGTGCATACCTATAATCCCAGCAGGGGTATGGTAAGAGGCTGACTGTGGAAGCTCACTGTTCAGCCAGCCTCGCTGAAATGGCAAATTCCCGGTTCAGTGAGAGAGTGATAGAGCAAAACAGCAGAGTCCTAATCTCATCTCGCAGTATGTAAGTGGACACTCGCGCATGGAACACCCCATTACACACTGGCACTGAGGTAGAGAGGCTGAGGATGATACTTGCTGTCAACCGCTGCCCTCTCCTACAAGCAAACCCACAGACATGTGGACGAACACACAGAGTTTCTCTGTTTAGCCCTGGAACTCGCTCTGTAGAGCAGGCTGGCCCTGAACGCAGAGATCCACCTGCTTCTGCCTCCTGAGTGCTGGGATTAAAGGTGTGCACTGCCACCACCTCATTGATTTTACATTTCTGAAGAGCAAAGGTCATCCTTTCATGACCACAGCACACTGTTTTGTCAGATAGTTATTAAAACTATATGGAAAAGTGACAGAAAAATGTTTTTAAAATTCAAGAGTAGATAACATTAAAACAATGACAATATAACTGGACTTAAGAGGAATATAAAAGGGGTATCTCTGGCATCTAACCAAATACTAAACATATAACAGAAAAATAATGATGGTGTTCTAAACTAAGAATTTTAATTATGCTCATTAGTTTTCAAATATACTTGGCCATCCAGAGTCATGGTTCTGTATCTCTAGACTTAATCACTGGTCAAAATTATTCAGGAAAAAAAAAAACAAAACAAACAACTGTTTCACAAATGCCTCAACCTTCTTTCTTGTCACTGCTGTCTACACAACACTACATAGTAAATAGTCACACCATATAAACACTTAGCCTCGAGATGCTGGGCACTGGTTACTTACAAACACTGAGCATCTGATATGAAGGACCAGTGTATTCTGTGGACTGTGAAATCCACAAGGGCTCTGAAACTAGACCCCTCAGATGCTGAGGGGTGCCCATGCTTTGACCACTTACATAACTGACTTGCTATAGCTACACATTTTTCCTTTCACTTGTCAATTATTATATAAGTTTTAGAAATTTTGTAAAACATTAGGTGTTACATCAAAGTAGTTTATTGGCCAAAGAGTAGTACATTTTCCATCTGTTGACCTTTCAATTAACACAGCATTATTAGCTTTTTTGTATGACAACCCTGTGATGCCTGTGATGGAAGCATCTCACACCTACAAAAAAGCAAACACACAAAGCTCCTATCATTGGGGAGAAGCCGTCACTGTGAGAACACAGGCAACATGACCAACATGGAAGCTTTCATGAAAGGTTCAGCTCTCTAAAACTCCAAATATTCCCCACCAGAACCATGTTTGTATTAAGACATTTTTTTAATCTCTCTGCATTATTACTATGTAAGCAGGGACTCTGAATGAAGAGAAAACAGTCATCCCTCCCTTCCGAAGAAACAAAAATAAAATGTTACCTTTTCACACCAGTGCAATTTAAAACAATGTATGAATTGAAGATGGTAATTCTTTTAGAAGGTGCATTCTTTTTCACACCAAATTGGACCATATATATCATCAAACGATTCTACCACTATAGTTAGGGGAAGTGCTTTAAAATTATACATCAAAGAAATAGTTTTGCTAAAATACTTCTTAATGGGAACTGCATTAGCTAGATTTGCTGTCAGAGTAATAGCCTTACAGAAAAAAGTACTCATCTTTACAGAGATTGACTTACTTTAACAGATACATATGTACTGGAGAATAACATAAAGCTATATAATTCTACAGATACCTTATTAGGCTGAATGTGACACTAAAGTGTAGGTGCAATGCTCAGAAATTTATCCTGTCATCATTGCTTGAGCAACAGGAGAAGAAGCTGTCAGGTGTAAGCCAATGTGAGGGCGGTGTGCTACTAAACAAGAGCATAGAAGCCAAACCTAATTTCCCACTTTGAAGTGATTTCTTTTAAAAATATCTTGAGCTCTAAACCCAATGCTAAAACAAAGACTCAACAACACAAAATGAACTTACTTTGGTGTAAAATAAAATATAAGAGTGATTTTAAAATAAGGATATGTGGGATGCTCACAAAGAACAAAGCAATGACATTATCTGTATGAGACATCCCATAACCAAGAGATCTCCACAGTGACTATGCTTCCTCTGACGGCAGGACACAGTTCTCAATAAAGGCTAAAGAGTCCTATAATAAAGAACCTTACTTGACTTTGTTTAGCTCTGGTTTTCCCAATACATTTCCTGGGCAAATAAGCAGTACTTCCCGTGGTTTATTTACTGAGGGAGCTTATTAACCCTCACAACAACTCTAAAACATAGGCAGTACTGTTGTCCCATGTTACAGTCCTTAAGTGGCAGGCGAGAGTTTAAACCAGAATATTCTATGTAGCTTTACTTTACATTCTAGGCTGCTTCTATGTCAGACCTATTAAAACCTAAGGAACTGATGTTCTGCAGATTTCTTGTTATGTTGACATATAATTTATTTTCTTTTTGTTTTTTCAAGACAGGGTTTCTTTGTGTAGCTTTGGCTGTCCTGGACTTGCTTTGTAGACCAGGCTGGCCTCGAACTCACAAAGGTCCACCTGCCTCTGTCTCCCTGAGTGTTGGAATGACAGGTGTGTGCCACTGTACCAGGCTCGACATACAATAATTTGTATTTACACAAGTGTATATATGGAAGGGGTGATTTCGTGGGAAAAGGGTAAAGAAATACTGGTCAGTGAGATGGCTCATCAGGTAGAGGCGCTGTGGCCAAGCCTGACAACCTAAGTTCAAAACCCAGCACACTCATATGGTAGAAGAGAACTAACTCTTGAAAGTTGACTTCGAAATGCACATGCAACATACACGTGCCCATACATACACACACACTAAATAAATGTAATTTTTAAAATTTAAAAAAGAGTTAGGAAACAGAAACTAAAACTTTAAAGTTAGTTCAGCTATGTTTTGCTATAGGATTGTGTCTCCCTTTTAAAAACCTTGCATAGGCGGCTAGCACTGACTGGCATTGTCTATACCCTAGGGTAGTGCTAGTTCCCCTGTGTTAGCCCATCAGACCCCCAGGCCCCCATCCCTTAAAAATAAGCACCAAAACACTGACCACACATGGAGGAACTATGTGTAGAACTACCTGTGCTAAGTGTGTAATGTTTACTCACATGAATGTGAGATGTCAGGGGTCAGCTAGCATAATTCCAAACCCATTTTCAAAGCATGAACACAATGTCACTTTCCCTTTTCGCTATGACATGTGTGCTGATGAGAAAGAAGCTGCTACCACCGGCACAAACCACGGCAATAGCACTCTCTGGATGATAGTATCACTGTACATTTTACTCAGGTCAGTTTCATGGAGGAACGTTCCTGATAGCACAGAAAACACTAACTGAATTAACTCTAAGCTCTTAGGCACAGGTTGTAGTCATATGGTGACTGATGAAACCAGAAGCCCTCCTGGAGCTTATACCACTCAAATACAACGGTGACCTCAAAAAACGGTGACTTCTGTAGATGTCTGAATGACAAGTTGCATCAACTGCTTGATCTCAGAGAGAGCCATAAAACTTGAAAGAACAACTAACTCCCCACAGTTTTACGGCTGTTCAGATTTGGGGCCATAACTGGCAGGCATTTTCTCACAATAAATACACTGAGGCTCTGACTTGAAGGAAAATTGTTGGCACAGTGTTGGCCTTTCAAGCAAAAATTAAACTTGAAAAAGCATGCTATGGCATTAGTATGGCCATCTGAGGACAACTTTATTTATGTGGGTTTTGGGGATCCAACTCAGGTCACCAGGCTTGCACAAGCATCTTGCGCCACCTCAGCGGCCAAGGGCTGCGAGTGATCTTAAAAGACTTGAGTTTAATTTTTGTTTGGCTCCCCTCTTGCAACCCTCTACATGGTTTAAAACTTAGCGTGAACTCAGTGCACACCAGAATGAGGATTTCTGGAAGCTTTTGGAAAGAACACTGCTCCTGCTTTCAGGAAAGCCTTCAGAAGCCAATCCTTTCTCTTCCTGAGCAAAATGATTGTGGGTGTGAAGCCTGCGGCAGTGAGGCAGTGATTCTGATCCTAAAGGGAGGCCAGAGTGGATGCAGAGGACACAGGGACACAGAGGACCCCTCCCTGGACCACCCAGCACAGCTCTGACTGCGCAAACCACTCTCAACTGGGGATTCTATTATTTCCAACATGAAGATTTCTAAGATAAAACATTATGCCTCATTAAACTAAAATTTCAAAAAAATTGAATATAAACATTGGAATATTTGAAGAAAAATTCTTACAGTGAAAATACGCAGATGAAAATAACATTATTTTAAATTACCTTCTCAGTATTCTTGTATTTTTCCCATCCTTTCAGCATTTTCAGCCATTTGGGAGTTCTTTCAATTTCCAGTTGCTTTTGCTAAAATAAAATTCAAGTCTAATGTTACTTTTTGAAGCTTCTTTACTTATAAATCACAACCTAACAAAACCAAAGAAATTGTTTTTTGAAGTTACACTACAGCAAAGAGGAAATGCCCTGGCTAACTTGTTTCTAAGTTGGATAAGCTGAGACTAGCATCAACCGCAGTGGAAAGCTGACATTATGAATCATACATAACACTTCATGTGAGTAAGAAGACAGCGAGGAGGCTCATTTGTAGTTTCTAATACTTTAAAGACGATCACCGAAAATCCTATGTATAATAAAAAAAACGCTTTAAAAGAAAAATCTGAAGTATTTTGCAAAGCAACAAAAAACTACAACCTTCAATTCTCTTTTATCTAATTTTAGTAAATTCTAGCATATTACCGTTTTGAATGGCTAAGTTGGATTTTTTTTTAAAAGAGTTCCATTTAGTTTTTGAATTTAGTATGTGATTAATACATAACTAGCTTCATGGCAGAGAAACAATACACAAAAATAAGTCACAGTTGTCACCCTGAGGTTCCTCGTGTGCTGAAGTGGACAGACTCAATGAGGTGGCTGGGACTGACATGAGACAAGGCTAGTGGCAAGGTCCCATGAAAAAGCAGTCAAAGGCCTACTTAAGGAGCCTAAAGATTGTTATGGAATTTACCTGGTGCCAGATGAACACATGTGTTTCTCATGCCATTCAGCACTTTAGGGGGCTGACAGAAATTCCAAATAGTTTTAGGAAGGAAGAAACAAGGCTGCTGTGGTGAGTTAAGAGTGTTATATGTCTAGACTGAGATCCATGACAGAGCTAAGCACTGAGGCAAGTTACCCACAGAAAATGCTTTGTTCCTCTCTTTTTGTGTTTCCAGGGGGAGAAATACTTTTTCCCTGAGTATTTGGGCCTAGGAATGTAAGAAATATGTGATAAAACACAATGAAAAGAGAAAACTACCCAGGAAAGACAACAGCTCTGCAAGCTTATCTTACACTCTAGGATGTACGCTCCCTGAGCCTCTGAGGCAGGTCTGCAGTGAGGAGGCAAAGAGCTTAGGGGACAAGTCTAGGAAGAGCACAGGCATTCAGAGCAGGCAGGTGCGCTCTCCCTGTGCTCTGCACTCGCCCCTCTTGTCTCCAGCTGCCAGCCTGTATTCTTTCTAACACAGGCAATCATATTTCCTGGATGAAAAACATGGCTCTTTACTGACTGGCCTCAATCCAGCCTCAAACAAGCAGGCAGTAGTTGGCAGATGGCACACACCCACCACCAATAATTTTAGACCTGAAAGCATAAATCCCCAAGGAAAATCCTGAATTTAGGAAAAATATCCTTACCAATGAGAATGTTTTTATAGAATTTACCTTTAGGTATGTTCATAAAATTCTGTAATTACTTTCTAACTCTTTAATGTTTTTTATGAGTTTTTATAATAAAAGCTGATCACTTGTGAGGAAAAAAAAACGTTAGTTCCCAGTTTTTCAAAAGGCTTAAACATAGTCTTTATTATATTATTAGTGATAAAATAATACACATGGTTCTAGAAATACATTTAATTTTAAAACTCAGTGGGGCAATGAAATCTAATTAATGTTTTGCTAAATGTGACTTTAGAGAAGGCCAAACTGTGAAAAACTAGAGACTGCTCTAAGTTGCCATTTGCTGTGTTTTTCTTACTCTACATCCCTCCTTTGACTGCTTGAAGCACAATCCCCTTCTCTACCAATAGGAAAATACCCAAGTGATCAAAGCCAGGGCAAGAGCTTCACACACTTAGACAGAGCAGCCCTGTGGGACCCAGAGGCTCTTGCTAACTTTCACTCTCACTACTATGAATTACCAATATACCACTTTAGGAAGTAGTTATCCTTTTCTTAAGATACATTTCGTATATTAATGTTTGTCATAGATTAGATTAATTTAAATGGTATGCATCCTAAAAGAATTAGACATATACATGCTATTTTAAGAACCACTAAGCATAATTTCTTTCTTCTACACATATAAGAAATTATATGTATATCTTTTATACATATATTTTTATCTCCTAGTGTGGGACTTTAAACTTATATATTACTTGAGCTTACGTTCTGACTCTGCAATACTATCATTTCAACTATACCAGACTTGAATGCACATCAAAGTAACCCTCTCTATACTAGTCAGTAATTCATAGCTTAAAGCTATTTTCTTACCAAATATACTAAAGCTGACTGTTCTACAAAGTATTTTAAATAAATAACTGAAACCATGTATGACAACTGTAAACTTAAGTACCCTAGAAAAACAGGCTACAGATCATCAGTCAGTCATAGATTCATTTACACCAAAATAAAAGTAGAATACAACAGTGTAACAGGATTTCTACCTGAGATTTTGACAGTTTCAAGTCAAATCTCCTGTCCTGAATTGCTGGCTATTCCCAACACATAATCTATTTCCATGACTCTGACCAAGGGCTGCCATTTGTCTGCTTGTGGTGCTCTTCCCTGTCATCTGTGATGGCTGATACTTACAGTCAGCTTGACAGGATGTACAATCACATAGAGAGCATAACTCGGAGGGAGTTTCCAGAATGGGTTAACTGAGGTTGGCTAGGGTCTAAATCTCAACATAAAAGTGACCTGAGGCCCAGGATTCACCTCTGCTTCCTGTGGATGCCACAGGACCTGATGTTTCACACCCCTGCCACCATGACTTCCCTGCCTTGATGGACTATACCCTTTCTTTGAGTTGCTTTTGTGAAAGCAATGAGAAAAGCAACTAATACATTCACCTGGCAATAATTTATGTTTAAATGTCCAGTGTCTGCAGCCTCTCTCAGATGCCTCCATGTTCAAGCTAATTCAACTATTCCCTCAGTATTCAATGGCACTGGCTTAGTCAGAGTTGCTTCTTCCTACCAGTTTTCCTTGGGGCAAATCACTTGATTCTTCTTTACCTCAGTTCTCCATCCTAGAGAATGAGAACTACTACAATTATTGTGCACTCAACACATGTACTCTAGCTGCCTAGGTGCTCAAATCACATGAGGAAAGTATTAACTCCTTGGCCACAGGGACCGTAGCATATCATCACCTTTTAATTTCATTACCTAAAACAGTTGTATAAGAGACAGTTTACATCAATACATTAACAGTTTTCTATAAGGAAGACAGGCAGGCAGCAATGTGAAACAATTAATAGCATCCTGTAGCTCCCAAGTAGAGAGGCAGAGAGGATGAATATGAATTGTTGCTTTAGGTAGGAGCTTCAAAATGTAATAGAGAAACAGCCAGAAGAAATTACAGCAATCCCCATACATAGCACACTGAAGAAAAGAGTGTCATTCCATCATGTTGGCTGACAGTTTCCAAAGTGTGACAGAAAGCAGAACTGCTGATATGAGGAGCCTATACAACATGGATTCTGTTGGCTTACTTTTTACTTTAAATATCTTACTTTTCTTAATTTTCATTTAAAAATATTTCAAACTTACATGAAAACTAAAACAAAGCTATATCATATGTTTCTACGTGTGTCATGAAAATCTAACAAGTATTAATCTTTTGCCAGATTTTATTTATTTCCTTTGGGGGGTTTTCTGGCTAACCCATTAGAAAAATCACAGATTTAAACACATCATTTCTAAGTATTTCCAAGGATGTAGCCCTTCAAGAACAAAAACAAACAAACAAAAAACAACAACAAAAAAAAAAACACCTTAATCATTAAACCATTCTTATATCCAATAAATTTCAAATTCAATCATTATCATTTCATAGTCTATACACTAACTTTTCTATGTGTCTCCCAAATGGTACTTTGGAATGTGTATGTGTGTCAGGTGCACACACACACATGCGCATACACAAGAGGAGAGAGAGAAAGAGCAAGCAAGAGAAAGAGAGAGCAGAGCGCATGTGTGGTGATGCTGAAGATTGAATTCAGGCTTACACAACGACCACAAAGGAGGCGGTCGCACTCGAGGAGAGCATGGAGGCCCTGTGCCTCCCCTCCTCCCTCCATGCATACACACTCCATTTGGTGCTCCTGGGTAGGGCTGTTTCTAGCAAATGGGTGTAGTAAGCCCAGCATCTGAGTTCTGTGAGCTGCTCTAGCAAGCCCAAGCACATCATGTGACCCTGTGATTCGTACATCACAGGTTAAAATCATCTGGGCTCTCAATCTGCATTAGCAAGGGAGGAGTCTGGTGAGAACGGAGCTGTAACGCCTGTCCACTGGAGGAACTGCTTGCTTATGGGGAGGAACTCAAACATCTGAGGTGCTCCATACTATGTTAACGATGAGAGGAGTAGAAAGTTTGCTCCCCGCCACCCCATGTCATCCAGTAAGGGCAAGTACGTAAAGTCACTAGGAGTCGCCCATGCCTAGATCTCACCAGCAGAGGTCAGGAGAGGATAAGAAGTAGAGGAAACCTTTGGAATGTATGGTCACTTATTAAGACTCGAGGCTTGTAAAAGGAAGGTGTACTTTTCAGAAGAAATAAAAGAGACTGATAAAGCTCAAGGGTAAACCATGAAGCCTGACAACTGGAGCTTGATCGTCAGTACTCACACGGTGGAAGCAGAGTACCAACTGCTGTAAGTTGTCCTCTGACCTAAATGTGGCATATGTGTATACATGAACGTGTGTACACACACAAATAAATATAATAAAATAAAAACAAAAGGTTCTCATAATTTATATATTACGCAAAATAGTGCACTGCATTACATAGCTTTATCTATGAAAATTCATAGTTTTATGTAACCTTTCCTCCTTATTAAAAACATCAATAAGCTTAAGGAAATAACATAATCCATTATTAATATTGTTCTCTACAGGATAAATATAATGAGTGTGTTTGTTTATTGGTTTAAGTGCCTATTTGGGGGAACCCAAATCATTTTTCAAACACCACATTAATCCTTTTATGAGGGAGGATTACTGTCCCTATTTTAAATGGAGATGGCCTCCTAAATAACTCAGGGGCAGAGCCAGAACTGAAGGCATGATTACTTGACAAGACAGACATCAGGACACTATATTCCTAAGCACCAAGAAGCACAGCTGAGGCTGTGCTTTGAGAGAGTAAACTTCAGCAAGGCAATCATTTCTCTTGATCTAACTCAGTGAAAAAACTACAGAAAAACTTTTATTACCTGTCTAGAAATGATAGAGCTTGGCCACTATGTATAGGAAGATACTATAGAATGCTAGTTTCTACTTAGACTACTTTGCACGAGTCTAAGTGCATGTATGTACATGTGATATATATCGGACCATGGACCTGGTGAAATAACTTAACAGGTAGAGTTTGAGCCAACTGTTGCCAAACCCAACTTCAATCCCCAGTATCTATCTGTTGCAAGGAGAGAACCAACTTCCACATGTGTGCTGTGAATACACATGCCATACACACATACATATGCAAGTGTGTGCTGTGAATACACATACCATACACACACACACACACACATACACACACACACACACACACACATACAAGCATGCACACATACAAAGGTATATTCACAACAAATAAATGCAGAAAAAATATTAAAGAAGGCCATAAACAAGTGAAATGTGTGAAAAAGCTCTGAGGAAGAAACTACCTCAGAACCATCTCTTATCCCAGTAATGGGTTAACAAGTAAATAGACAAATAGGTTCTCATTTTAATAGTTGTTTTTTGATGGTTTTTTTTTTTTTTTTTTTTTTTTTTAAGATTGAGAGGATTTCACAGTGTAGCCCTGATAGCCTGAAGCTCTATCTATAAAGATTAGGCTGGTCTCAAACTATAAAGTTCTATCTGCCTTTGCCTCTCAAGTGCTGAGATTAAAGGTGTGAATCACCACACTCAGCATTTTAAATAAATCATTAAGGCATACACAGATTAATTTTAATGATTCCCTAGTATATTAAGACTTTAAACAGGAAATTAATTAATTAATTAATTAATTAATTAATTAATTATATGCATGCTTGCACTGGGTAAGAATCTTATGATACAGCTCAATCTTATAAAAAATTAGCAAACTTAATTTTCAAGCATGTACCTTCTGATAATCTGCCTTACATTTCTTCTTTACTGGCACACTTCATGACTTTTCTAATTACTGGCTTGAAGAGTCTGAGGGAGGCTTTCTCAACCAAAAAATTACAAATAGTGAAGGAGGAGTTGGAGAGAGAAGTCAATACTAAATTAATACATTTTTATTTTGCCAAATCAGCCTAGCCTTTGTTTTAAAAAAAAAAAAAAATCTGATTCTTTCATCCCTAATCTTTCAAATTTGGGACACTCCAGCAGCTTATTCAATAGATCTGATGCTAGAAAGAAGGTGGAGTGTGGCTCATACAGACAACAACCTAGTGGGAGAAAGACAAAATAAAAAAATCTTCAAAATAGCTAACATACAATGGTGTCGTGTACAATACAGAAATAAGAAGATAATTAACACCAGAGCGGAGAAGTTCCCAATTTTAGGTTAGAAGCCAGTAGGAAAGCCCTGACGAGGGACTCTGGCCCACCCTCACACTAATAGCTGAATGAAAGGAGGTAGCACAAGGGCAGAGGGAGACTGCACAATGCTTTGAGGACTATTCTCAGCAAGCGTGTTTACAGCGATGGGACAGGGAAGATGCAGTGAGGCTCTGATCAGAAAGTGACATGCTCTTAACTTATTTTAACAAGATCATTCTAACTGTTTGTTGGACAGGTAAGACTGAGAGACAAGGACAAGGACTTCCAGGAAAGAGGTAAGAAGAGAGTACAGGGGAACAGAAGTAGAGATGACAGCCAACAAGTCCGAGTACCCCTGAAGGCAGAGCTCCCAGCATTGGCTGGGATGAGATGAGGGTCTGAAAGGAGTCAGAGACAACCCAGAAAACATGGACTGAAGTCCAAAAGAAGGAGCTCCTGCTCACTGTGATGGGGTCATTTGTCTACAGGCTGATCTGAGGACCAGTATTTCTAGGCCAAGGAAAAGATCAAAATTCAAAATCTGGAGTATGGCCCTAAGGAGAGAAGAGAAGAGGATGAGGCAGGAAAGCGGGGAGGGACAAGTGAAACTACTATGAAGTAGAGATCTGTAATGGCTATAATAACATTTGAGCTGAAGGGGAAGATGGGGAGAGGATAGGAAGTCCTGTGGTGATATCAGAGGGTCAGATGATTGGTAAAGTCAGAGCACTGCACAAGAAGTGACTGTCATAGGCAGGTACAAATCCACTTAAAACAGCCTGATACAGTTCGCCTAGGCCAACCATCTCCCAGCTCTGGTCTCAAGTGACTTTCCTCTAGTCACAGACAGAAAAGATGTTCTCCTCAGTCCTGGAATTCTAAGCAGTAGCTACTCCAGGGCAGGACGCCCTTTTGTTAGACATAGCTGTCAAAAGTCCTCTGTCAAAGCTCCTAGGCTATGATGTTGCCAGAGAACCCAGGGGCCTTTCACTGACAGGAGGTGTTCTTCATATATGCAAAAGAACAATTCTCTTTACCTCCTAAAGTTTTGCTATAGTTTTGATTTCCTGAAAAATTTGCTCTAAGAAATTTTCCTAGAATTTTTTTTTAATTATAATTGCAATTTCACCTGCATTGTCTGAAGCTCAGACCCCTTCCCCAGTAGAATACACACAAACAAAATACCTTCATTTCCATTCTGTAATTCATTTTGGAAAACAAAATGGAAGGAGTAAGGAGATTCTGAGAAATTGAAACTTTCAATCCCTACCTCTCATGTACACCCGGACATAGAAGCAGCTCCTTTCCAAGAGGAGTGAAGAAATGTTTGAGAAAAGCTGACTTCTATGTCACTTAAGTCCTTAAATGCTAAAGCAGGTACCTGAACTGCTTCAGTCATTATTTGTGAGGAATTGGATAAACTCTCATGGATAGTTACTTTCTCAGAGCTACTGTCTAAAGTGGTACTTTACTGTCCAGAGGAACATGAGGATCACTTAGGATGCTTTACTCCTAAATGCTCTTCCCTTACATTAGTGTAGCTGTCCAGCCTCATCAGAGGTTTCTTTATACAGCGGAAGGTAAATACCACAGAGAGTCACAACTGTTCAAGGTGTAGAGAACAGGAGATGGTTCCCTAAATGGAATATCAATACCACCATCCTCTCCACCAAGGATCACAAAGAAACTGTGTGCTAACACAGCAGGGCAGTTGTACACGTGCGCTCACAGCAGTTGTGACAGCATGCATAAGATCTTTATAGGTCAAGCAGACAAAGTCCCAGCATGGAAAAAGAGGTGGCAAGAAGCCACACCCAGCTGCTGGCTAAGAAGCTACTGGTAGCTGAGAGCTGCTGGAAGAGGGAGACAGTTTTCTTTAAGGGCTGACCACCTTCCAGTAAAGGCCACACATCCAAGAGTATCCAAGGGCAGCAAAAACGGTACTTGATGGGTTTAAAAACAAAAAGGACACAAAGCTGAGTGGGTAGGGAAGAAGGATGGGAGGAAGAAATGATCAAAACGCAGTGTGGACTTTTCAAAGAACTAACAAAAGATGAGAGAGAAAAAGATAAACCAAACAAAAAACATTTATGACACACAAACATCCACGATATGGATGGATGGATGGATGATAGGTAGATGGATAAATGGAAAAGAAAAAATTCCTTCCACAGACAGGTTGTTTTGTCTGTAAAGCCTGAAGTGGGGGCTGAGCATTTTAGAGTGCTGACCTTTTCCTTTCTTTTCAAGAAAGATGGAAATCTCATAAACCCTCCTAAACTCATTGCACACTTATTGTAATTACTTCTTAAGAGTGATACAATTATGATCATATGCTAACAATGCCAGCAGCATATAATACAGCACTCAAAAATCACAGAAGCAGATTCTATTCCTCTCAAGACAACTCATCGGTAACCACGGATAAACAAAGAACCTCACTTACCCGGTCCGCAGCTGCATTATGACATGGGAGCTCCTCCTCACTGCAGAGAATAACAACATATACACATGAAATGGTTGAGTCAGGGCAGACTTTTACCAACTGTATCCTACAGGCATGTTTCATATGAAATATCTGTCACTACAAGAGATGCATGTTTCATGCTTCCATTTCACCTAACTGAACAGAAAATATCTTGTCTATGAACACAACATCCCTCAACTTCAAACATTGTAGTCATTCTCCTAGTGAGCACTTTAAAGTCCGTCTCATTAGCGACAGTCTGACTACACAGTCATGTAGCCAGAGGCTGCCATATTGAACATTTCTAGCATGGCAGAAAGTTCTGTTGGAGAACACACCAAGGTTAAGCAGCTCCCGCCACAATAAACAGTAAATGTTTTAGGGTTTATGAATCACATACTCTTTCTCACAACTACTTGTGAGACTTGGACTCTGTGTGATATTGTGATAATGCTCACAAATGACAGATACACTAAGATCCATAGAACTTGTACAAACCCAAGCTAGATTTGGCCTTGGCACTTACGTCATTCTGACACCATGTGCCCTAGACCATCACTTTCACTCTTGGATACAACTATTGCCTAAAATAAAATTACTGTATAAAATTATCATAAATTAAAAAAAACTGGAGCCAAACCTGGTGGAAGAGGACTGAAATCCCAACTAATTAAGAGACTAAATAGAAGAAAAGTATCAAACTCAACAACTGCCTGGGTATCGGTGAGTTCAAAGCCTGCCTGGACAACTTAGACCCTGTCTTGAAATAAAAAGGTAAAATGAGAGTTGGGAGACCAGGAGAGCTGATTCAGTTGAGTTCCTGAGTTCAATGCTTAGCAACTGCACACACACAGAAAGGCACGGTGGCACTCACTGGGAAGGCAGAGACAGATTCTGGGGCTCACTGGCCAGTCAGCCTCATCTAACTGCAAGTCCCAAGATCCAACGAGAAACCTATAGCAATAGGAAAAAATCAGGCTTGGTGGCTTGAGAAACATCTAGGGTTGACCTTTGGCCAGACCTTGGAGTAGATCAGTATTCTGTGAGGACTGAAACAGCTGTCAGCTTCCAAGGCCAGCCTGGTTGTCTAAGAAAGGGTAAAGTGCTTTTAAGGCTGGTGCTCTTTTCTGTACTTATTACACTCCTAAGTATTCACAAGGAAAAGGCAGTCTGCTGTCAGTGTTTTATGGGATTGAATTGGAAATTTAGTAATGTTGTAATGTGTATTTTTAATGCCCAGTTTTAAAATGCTCCTTGGGGCTGGACAGATGGCTCAGTGGTTAAGAGCACTGGTAGTTCTTCAAAAGGTACTGAGTTCAATTCCCAGCAGCCACATGGTGGCTCACAACCATCTATAATGAGATCTGGTGCCCCTTCTGGCATGCAGGCAGAAATACTGTATAAATGATAAATAAATAAACCTTAAAAAAAGAAAAACCAACCAAACAAAAATAAAATAAACTGCTTCTGAAAATATTAGCTTTCAATGGACTTGTGAATTAAAAGGAAAATACGATTTTTAATCTGTAAAATAAAGAAAACTTTGCTGTTAAAACTTTAATAGTATTTTTTTTTTTTAATTAAAAAAGAACAAAGCCATTTCTGTGGTTCATGTATGCTATTACTTCGAATGTTAAAATATCCTGGGACTCTTCTATTAACTGTCAGTAATAAAGTATTGCATATAAACAAAACTGATTTCGGCAGCTTTCTCAATAGTATGAATGTTTTGGCAACAATACGTGTATATTCTTGCTTCTGTTTACTCTTGAGATCAAGTGTCAGCACTTTTAAGAACATGACATGTTATTATTCAAGAGCCTAGCATTTTCTTTGTCATTCTTTGCTTCTCTAAAGAGTCCTTATATGAACCATTTAGCCATAGCAATGGAACTGACAAAAGTGGACCCAAAAGAGAATTGAGAGAAACCCCAAATCCCTCTTTTCATAGATATGAAAATAAACATTTTTATTTAGTCACTTAGCCTAACACAAAAATGCCCACTACAACATAACCCAGCATATTTAAATGACAGCTATTGCTGGAGTGTACACAGAAAAAAGATAGAGGCCAAGAATGCAGTTCTCAGAAACACAGAAATTCTAAGGCCTGAATAGTCTTCAGACCTCACAGATGGATGACAGAGCAAGACTGGGTGCTCTTCTATCTTACACCTAAAACTTCCCCAAAGAACCTGCTGTGTGCACACTCATCTCCACAGGCCTTGCCCTCCTCAAGTCTCTGTGCTGCCATATGCTAAGGCTCACAGCTATCTGAGAACAGAGAATGCCACCTCACTAGGATCTCCATGTGCAATGGTCAAGAGTCAAGGTTTTCAGTGAGTGCGGCCAAACAGATGTGGACTAGAAGGCAGGTCAGCATATGCTAATAACCTGTATCTTTTTCTTTTCTTTCTTTCTTTACCCCCCAACCCCACCAAGAAAAAAATTTATCTGTCTTGGAATTCACTCTGTAGACCAGAGAGCTGCCTGACTCTGCCTCCCAAATGTTGGGATGAAGACCACACTGGCTCCAATAATCTGTATCTAACTAACTAAATCTCCTTCAAGCACAAGAGGGGGGAAAAAACACAGTCTGGAATACACAGATGAGTAGTCCTTCAGGTCAGCAAACCATGGCCCATGGGTCAAATCCTGTTTGGTGTCTATTTTAGTAAATAAAGTTTTAATTGAACACTGCTGTTCTTACTCACTTAGATATCATCTGGGTTCCCCCCCCCCCCCAATACCAGTAGAGCTGAGTCACTGTGACAAAGATACATGGTCCACAAATGCAAAAACACTATCTGGCTCTTAGTAAGAAATGACTCCTAACTCTCCTTCCCTTTAGAACCTAATTGGATTTGCAGGCCCATGCTCTTCAGAGACAACACTCAGCTGACAAGCAGTCCCTCCATTTTAGCAGTAAGTAAGAACAGCTGGGATAAGACGAAAGACAAAGACTTCAGCTGACATGTTTTCATCTGGATCAGGCTGTAAATGCACTGCTAAGTATGTGTTTGTGAATTGTTGGGAAACAACAATTCAGAGTATTTCTTTAAATGTCAAACATTCACTTGGAAACCTACTTGTTAAAATGTTAAAATCAGTTAAGTTTAGAATACTGATTATGGTTCATTTTTGTTTTTGAAGAAAATTTTATCCAAGTTTAGATTCAAACTAGTTAAAATTTGCATATAAAACTGGTAAAAAGTTCTCAAATCTTTTAATCACAATAAATAATCTAGAAAACAGGAGCACCTTTACTTACTCTGCATCTTACAGATCTATACAGATCTATAAAGGCATGGGAAGCCACAGACTGACTCCACTACATTTTATAAATATACAAACGTGCGTAAGTACTTGAATATCTGATGCATAGTGTTAATTTGATTGCCTCTATTTTTGGCACAGTTTCCTTTTAATTCTCCTATTAGAAACTTGTGACCCATAAGTTTTATTTACCATTATCCAAATACCAGGCATTATTTTGTCCAAAAGAGCTGTGGTGGCTAGTTTTGATTAAAACATTTAAAGTTCTCCAACCACTTAAGCAAGCCCAACTTTTCCAGCAGCTGTAACTCCATCACAGGCTAGTTTGGCAACAGCTTTTATACTTATCGTAAACTCTGTTAGCAAACCAAGTTAATTCTATACCATGTTAATTATTGCCATTTCTTTATACATTTCAACAAAGAACTTAAGTTTTTAATGCTGTATCTAGAGAAGAACTTAGCAATATCCAAAAGGCTAAAAGGTTGTTCTTTTTATTGTATTGTATGTATTGACAATGAATTTAAAATCTAATTACAATTGCAGCAGCTATCAAAATTTACACATAGCAAAGATAAGAGAGGTGCTCTTTTGATCAAGGTGGGACAAAAAGTAATATCTAGATGCTTACACCAAAAACTTTATCCAATAGTATGATAAGTCCCATCTACTTTGGCAAGCAATAAAAGCAACCAGCAACAAACTGAGGAAAGAGTAGACATTTTTAACAAAAATCAGTTAATAAAGCCTAGCATGACACTGGAATCCACTTCTCTGTTGCATTATTTTCTTTCTTTTTGTTTGTTTCTAAAATTCTTTTTTAATTTTAATTTATTTTATTTAATTAATTTTATTTTTTTCCTTCATAATTTATTCATTTTATATCCTGATTAAAGCCCCCCCTCCAATCCCCTTCCTCTAGTCTGCTAAAAGGGGGATTCTCCATTATTTCCATCTGCCCATAGCTTGTTAAGTCTCATCAGGACTGCCTGGATCCTCTTCTTCTGTGGCCCAGCAAGGCTGTATCACCAGGAGCGAGTGATCAAAGAGCAGTCAACTGAATTCATGACAGAGGCATCCCCTGCTCCCCTTACTCAGAGGTCCACATGGAGACTGAGCTGCCAATTGGCCACATCTGAGCAGGGGTCTAGGTCCTCTCCATGCATGGTCCTTGGTTGGTGCAGCAGTCTCTGCAGGACCACCTGGGTTCAGATCTTTTAGCTTTGTTGGTCTCCTGTCCCCCCTCCATGTCCCTCTATCTCCACCTCTCTCTTCTTCCATAAGACTCCCTGCACTCTGCCCAAAGTTTGGCCATGAGTCTCAGCATCTGCTTCAATTCCCGGTTGGGTGGAGTCTTTCAGAGGAATGAAAACAAGAGCTAGTTCTTTGAGAAAAATCAACAAGATAGAAAAACCCTTAGACAAATGGATTAAAAGGCAGAGATGCCATCCAAATTAAAAAAAAAAAAATCAGAAATGAAAAGGGAGACATAAAAACAGACATTGAGGAAATACAAACAATCATTAGGTCTTACTTCAAAAGCCTATATGCCACAAAATTTGAAAATGTAAATGAAATGGACAATTTTCTTGATCAATTCCACTTACCAAAGTAAGACCAGGTAAATAAATCAAATAGTCCTATATCCCCTAAGGAAATAGAAGCAGTCATCAAATGTCTTCCATCCAAAAAAAGCCCAGGGCCAGATGGTTTCAGCACAGAATTCTACCAGACCTTCAAAGAAGAGCTAACTCTAATATTCTTCAAACTATTCCAAAAAATGGAAACAGAAGGCACATTACCAAACTCATTCTATGAAGCCACATTATTTTCATTTGTGCTTCTGTTTTGAGACTCCAACAAAAGCAGATTTTAAGAAGTGACTATGACTTCATGAGAACTGGTACCTATCAGTTTCATTTTCAAAGAAATGGTCATCTTTGCTATCTTAGCATGTATGTTGATAGAAACAGCCATTCCAATCTCCTCTGTAGGCATTTCAAATATCCTATATTTCTCTCATTAAAACAAAAGAAGGCAGTAACAGCAATTCAGAACATGACTCTGAAGTGAGACCTATCCTAGACCCCATCCTAGGAGCTGACACTGTCAGTAAACTTATGGCAACTTACCTGAGCTTTTTGCATTACAGGTTCACCACGTAAAAACCAGAGAAAGTGCACCTACCTACACATAGCCAAGATAGGAGAGGTGTTCTTTTGATCAAGGTGGGACAAAAAGTAATATCTTTTGAAGGATTAAATGCTTAACACTGCCTGCATATAGGAAGTACTCAATGATTATTAACTATGATTATTAATACTATCAAGGTAAGTTATTAACTGACTTTTCCCCTACTACAGTCAACTGGACCACAGCTCAAACTTTAAAAACAAAACAACAACAACAAACAACAGCTTTTTAACTGACAAATACAAGTTAGGATCTTGGACAATAACTTTTTTGTAAGACTTAAAATTTGTTTCAACTGACAAGAAAAAAATAGGTAATACACACCTCTGGAAAGTATGCACTATAATTCTTAAAAACACATTATTATACAGATGGGATGGTCAAAATGAATTGAGCTGCATGCCATCTTCTGAATCAAAATCTAGTACAGAATCCAGAAAATCTTTTTTTTTTTCAGTTGATTCTATTGTGTAGACAAATCTGTGACCTACTGAGCTTAAAAAGTCTTTATACTCAAACTGTCCTTCAAAATTCAATTCACATGCAAGATCTGTACCTGACTAACACAAATGTACAATGGCGTCCCATCACAATTGTGGCTATGTCTGATGATGATGAAGAGGGGGGAAGATGAAGAGGAGGGATGAGACAAGAGGAGGATGATGAAGAGGAGGAGGAAAGGAGGAAGAAATAAAAAATAGCAAAGGCAGGGAGTTGAGAAAGTGGTTTAATCCATAAGCTCTGCTCTGTCCTCTAACGAAGTTCAAAGTCTTCAGACTGTAACCATCCAGGAGAAAGTTTCAGATCTCTAAGCATAAGAAGAGCTTCATGGAATTAAATAGTCCCACATTCGCTTTCTTCAAAGCCTCAACACACTTACAATCTATAAGGTAATTTTATTCTTTTCTCTAGATGAAGTATGAAAGCATTCATTGACCAGAAGCTAGGAAAACACAACACACAGACAATTTAGATGACACTAGGACCTAAACAAAAGACTGATACCAGTTTGTTGGATACTTTTTAGTAGGCTAGCCCTCTCTCAAGTCTTAACACGGGATAAATAGAGTTAATTTCAAGAAGCAACAGCATGATTACATTTATAACTATAAGGAAGATCCATTTGGCCTTTTTTTTCATTGCTCATTTTTAGATTGTGTAACACCCATTTTCTAATTGCTAGTTATTTTAAAAAGTCATCCATATAAAACTCGATGTTTTATAATTATTTTTAAAATATAACCTGTTATGCATGTGCATTTAACTCTTAAATTATTAATACAACTCATTTATGCACTTGCCTTGTTCTCTATAAAACACAAAAGGTAATAAAGGTTGTATTCTTTTTTTTTCTTTTCTTTTTTTTAAATTAAGGTTGTTGTATTCTTAACTATATATAACTCAATTTTAACCACAGTATTTAAATATTTTTTTTCTATTTATTCTATTATTACAGACAAATCTGTGACCTACTAGGAACCAAAAAGTATATTAGAGCAGTCCTGGAATCTTAGAAGAAAATCTACTAAAGTTAATAACGGATGGCCATAGTAAGATTATAACTGAAAAATGACAGCTTTGACTTACTGTAAAAAGCCGAATCTATCAGTGACTTTGTAAACAAGATAATCAGCATCTTCCCAAGGCTCAATCTCTGCACCTTCTCGTCCCTAAAAGAAAGACAAGAGGGCTCTTACTGGGAATTTACATACCGAGTAACGTTCTGTTAGTGAGACATATCAAACAGTTTTTTGTTTGTTTGTTTGCTTGCTTGTTTGTTTTACCTCAACTGCTTTGGCAATGTAATCACTGCTCCTCAGTATCAGCTATGGAAGGTACTGCATCTGCAAGAGCTCACATAGCTTGTCTCCATCAAAAGATGTCCTAAGGGAAGTCAATGAGGACAAGAGAGCTAACTCGGGAGAAACTACCAAACCTTAAGTTTTAAAGTGATCTAGAGCAAACTTCTTTCATGCAAACTTCTCAGAGAAGACAAAGCGCATTTTGTCTCTCCATTGCTCTGTTTCCCAACTACACCTGCCCTAAACTTAATCTTGTTGCTAAAGCAAAGAAATAAAAATGACTCCCAACTGGGCATAGTGGCACATGCATTTAATCCACACTTGAGAGACACAGGCAAGCAGATCTCAATGAGTTCAAGGCCAGTCTGGTCTACATAGTGAGTTCTAGGCTGGTGGAGACTCATATTCTCTCTCTCTCTCTCTCTCTCTCTCCCCTCAACTTGTCAGACCTGAGAACACCCTTCAGTCTGTAGTACTCAACATGTGAGGACTACTTGGCAATGGCTCTCATACTCTCAGTCTTCCTCACTGGCGCAGCATTGTCCCCTGCTGATCCCCTGCAGTTCTCTTCAAGCCCTCAAACTCTCTTTAGGATGGCTGTTTCATAGGTAACCCTTAACTGCTGGTGTGCCTGAAATTCTTTCCTCAGCCCACCACTGAAAGCACTCTAGTTACCACTCACTCATAGGCTAACACTGATGAGATCAGGACACCTAAATGCAATGTATCAGCACTTCAAATTTTAGATTTGTGGATACCTCCACCTGAGCGTATAGTGTCTGCTCCTATATTTTCCTTCAAGTAGACTATGAACATCTCTGGGCAAGGACTGTCAGAAGGCATTTCTGTCTTCCTTTTTAAAAAGGTCTCCCAGGTCCTAACTTGGGCTACATCTGGGTGAGTGGCTGGGTGGGACAGAGGCGACTGCAGGTGTGCATCAACAGTGCTGCTTGATCATTGTATATTAGCTATGCAGCTAAGTAAGTTATCTAGGTTTTTTACGGATGGTACTACCAACTAACCACAGCACAGGGAACTCTGGACACATGACTGTTTGAACACTGCCTTTGTGCTTCCCTGGTGAAATGGCACAGGTCAAATGCCTGTTTATAATTTCATGTTCCTATTAGGCTCACAAAATATATTTTTAAAAGTGCATAATTATGTTCAAGTGATGTGGCTGTAGAACATGGCACCTGTAAATAAATGTTATATCCATTAAAGAAGAAATAAATAAGGAGACAAATTGTTGATAACAAAGTATTAATAATCTTTCACATCAAAACCAAGAAAGATTCCATGCTAAGGTAATACAAAGAGAGAAAGGGGAAAATGGGGAGGGAGGTTTAGATGGGGAAGGGGATAGCAGGTAAAACATAGAGGAGGAGACAGCCAACTCTCAGGATGCTTGTAAAGGCCATGAAGAAATCTGCTGTTTCATAAACAACCCCCTGCTAGCTAGCTTTCTTTGACTCAGGAGGTGCCATGTAGGCTGCTGTTGGGGGAGAAGAGTCATCAGCAGTCTGACCCTGCTGTGAACCCTGTAAGTTACAATAATGAGCAGCCTGCCAAGATATACCCATGAGTGCAACAGTGACGTGAGTGTTACGGGGAAGTTTAGGACACAATTCATCACTGAGCTTAAGAGAAGACAGGAGCTCAAGGTGGGAATCTAGAGGGAGTAGTCATGAAAGAAAGCTGCTGACTGACTGCTTTCTGGCTTATCTATTCTCATATAACCTAGGACTACCACCTGAGGAATGGCACCACCCAAAGCGGGTTTGATTACTTTACTAAATGCACAGAGTATTAAACTGTCTTCTACATGTGCATCTCTATAACCACAGATGAGTGCAGCTTTCAGTTCTCTTCAAAGAGACTTCTTTGTGTAGCAGACAGATATTAATGCAGAAACTCACTATTGGTCAAATGCAGGGGAAAAGTGTTTGAGGAGTGCTCCACCATGAATGGGCTATCTATATTAAACCTCTTCTCTTCCAAGGCTCATGAACATTGTGGAAGAAAGGGCCAAAGGGTTGTTAGAGCCAGAGGTCAAGAAGGGACAGGATGTCTTCTGGGTATAACACAAACCAGTGTACTCAGGAGCTTTCTAGCAGGTGTTACTGCCTGCATAATGTCCAGCCTGTCAACTTTCCAGCATGGAGGAGGGAGTAGACCATAAGCCCCCACCCTGAGCTAAGGAGCTAGGGAGCTACTGACAGGTAATGGATGCTAGAAGAGGAAGTCAATTTCCTTTAGGGGTGTAATTGAACACAGTCCACTATGGCTGCATATCCATGTGCATATAAGCAGCACAAATTGGATGTAGAAAGGGAAAGAAAGAGAAAGCAACAGAGAAAGAAAGAGAGAGAGAAGGGAAGGGAAAGGAAGGAAGAAAGAAAGAGAGAGAAAGAAAGAAAGAAAGAGAGAGAGAGGGAGAGAGGAAGGGAAGGAGAGAGGGAGAAGGGAGGGAAAGAAAGAGAAAGAAAGAAAGAAAGAAAGAAAGAAAGAAAGAAAGAAAGAAAGAAAGAAAGAAAGAAAGAAAGA